TCAGTGCCCCATTTTATAATTGGGTTGATTAGCCTTTTAGGGTCTAGTTTCTTGAGTTCTTTATATATTTTGAAGATCAGACCTTTGTCAGTTGCGGGGTTGGTGAAGATCTTCTCCCAGTCAGTAGGTTGCCTTTTTGCCTTAGTGACAGTGCCCTTTGATTTACAGAAGCTTCTCAGTCTCAGGAGGTCCCATTTATTCAATGAGGCCCTTAATGTCTGTGCTGCTGGGGTTATACGTAGGAAGTGGTCTCCTGTGCCCATGTGCTGTAGAGTACTTCCCACTTCTATCAGGTTCAGTGTGTTCAGACTGATATTGAGGTCTTTAATCCATTTGGACTTGAGTTTTCTGCATGGTGATAGATATGGATCTATTTTCATTTTTCTACAGTGACATCCAGTTTTACCAGCACCATTTGTTGAAGATGCTCTCTTTTTTCCACTGTATACTTTTAGCTCCTTTATCGAAAATCAGGTGTTCATAGGTTTGTGGGTTGAAGTCAGGGTCTTCTATTCGATTCCATTCGTCGACTTCTCTGTTTTTATGACAATACCAAGCTGTTTTCAATACTGTAGCTCTGTAATAGAGTTTGAAGTCAGGGATGGTAATGCCTCCAGACAATCCTTTATTGAATAAGATTGTTTTGGCTATCCTGGGTTTTTTGTTTCTCCATATAAAGTTGATTATTGTCTTCTCCAGATCTGTGAAGAATTTTGATGGGATTTTGATGGGGATTGCATTGAATCTATAGATTGCTTTTGGTAGAATTGCCATTTTTACTATGTTGATCCTCCCAATCCAAGAGCAAAGGAGATCCTTCCATTTTCTGGTGTCCTCTTCAATTTCTTTTTTCAAAGACTTAAAGTTCTTGTCAAATAGATCTTTCACTTCCTTGGTCAGAGTTACCCCAAGATATTTTATGCTATTTGTGGCTATCGTGAAAGCCTCTCTGCTTACTTATCCTTAATGTTTAGGAAGGCAACTGATTTTTTGGAGTTGATCTTGTATCCTGCCACATTACTAAAGCTGTTTATCAGCTGTGAAAGTTCTTTGGTGGAGTTTTTGGGGTTGCTTATGTACACTATCATATCATCTGCAAATAACGAAAGCTTAAGTTCTTCCTTTCCAAAACGAATCCCCTTGATCCCCTTATGTTGTCTTATTGCTATTGCTAGAACTTCAAGTACTATATTGAAGAGGTATGGAGAGAGTGGACATCCTTGTCATTGAACCAGGTATTTTTATTCTTCATGCCAAATCATAAATACAGCTACAAGCTCCCCACAAACTAGATCTCCTTTTTGTCATTAGGGAATGTTTTCCTTACCAGCTTGCACCCAGAAAAAAAAAATATGTATTACAAGGGATCAAGGGTAATAACTATAAAGTGCCAAATTACTCCCTAGCCTCTGAGTACAGTAGCGGTAACCACACATAATCTATTCAGAGGCAATGCTCTAGAATTAGGAAGAGAGGAATGAGATGCAAGCTGCAAATACCTTCCATGTAGGAAACACTATCTAGAGAGAATACAATACAGAAAAGACAACCAAGGAAATGAGGGAAGATCTAGGAACACAAACAACATCTGAGCAATCTGACCCAACCCTTCCTTCAGCCTAGACTGGCTTTAACTTTCTTGTATTAACCACTTGTATTACTTACTTTTCTTGTTGCTGTGGCCACTTGACAAAAACAACATAAAGAACGAAGAGGTTAACACGGCTCAGTTTACTAGCTTCATTATAGCAGGAAAGTCATGGTGGCAGTTTAAGGCAGCTCGCCACATTACATAGCAGCAAGCAGAAAAATATGAACACTCATACTCAGCTTGCTTTCTCCTTTTCATTCATTCCAGGATCCCAGGTCCTAGAATGGTGCCACCCACATGAAGAGTGGGTCATCCAACCAAAATTAAACCAGTGTAGGAACTCCCTTACAGACCAGAGATTTGTGAAGAAGTTTCTCCCCTAGGTGATTCTTGAACTGATCAAGTTGGTGAGCATTAAACCATTTCATTAATAAATACACCCCCAAATCTGTTCAGACTAATTTGTACCACTGAACAAGAATCACAGTTCTATAGCAATGTTTCCCCAGTGTTAGACCTTGCAAGCCACAATATCAACTTGGTCAAAAAGGCATATGAGAACACAACTGAATAGCAGTTAAAGCCCAGACTCATGAGTAGAAAGGGTACTGAGAAAAAAATGACTGTTGAGTGGACAGCATTACATAGGACACACATATCATCGCCCCACTACCACCCACACCCACACCCACACACGGCACAGGGAACGTCATGGAGGAGGGATTGCAAAGAATATAACAACTAAAGAATAAAGAGAAGGGCCATGATCAACAGTCTTATGGGCATGACATGCCCATGACACTTATAAACTCATAACAGCTACAATTGCTTATAGAGAGTCCACACAAGACTGACTCAGTAAATTCACTCATAGATAAGGGAATTACAGACTGCTGCTAACGGCAGATGAAAGCTACTAGAGAAGTAAAAAATTCATTGTTGGCACTGATGCTCCCTTCACTGTGTTACTCATGCTCAATGGAGAGAAATGCACCCATATTCAAGATAGCTCTAGTTAAACTCAATACATTATTAAGCAAAAACAAAAGACACTAAAGTTGGATGGAGACTTGGAAAGAGCATATGGGGGTTGGTGGGCATGAGTGACAGTCAGGGAGGGTGGAGGGATGAATGTATCTATGATGAATTATATGCATGTATAAAACCAACAAAAATAAATTATTTTTTAAAATTGAAACAAAATTAATTCTACAACATTACTAAATAAAGATTATGTGGCATTTAGTACAATTCCTTGCCAAAATCCAATATCCCCCCCCCCGGCCCCCATGGTATCAGGAAAAAAATCTTAAGCTTTTAAATCTAAGCTGGTCTCTATCCTGACTGGCATAGAGGACTAGGGCAAGTGAACAAAACTTTTATCCTGTGTTCTTCCCACCTTTACAACAAGGCCATTCACTGTGCTATAATCACCGTCTAAAAAAACAGTCTGCAATGTCTGACACACAGAAATGGCAACAATGCCCGTTGTTTATATTGTCAATATCACCATTGTCTTCTTAAATTGTTATGCTAACTGTAAAAAATACTTTCACTAATTCTTTTGAAAATTTCATGCATATGTATATATATGCATACACATACGCACACCTTATCGTGATCATCTGCATCTGAACTCTCCCTTCCATTCCTTCTAGATTATTATGCTAATATTACTAGCTGTTTTCCTATATCGCCAAAAGCCTACTTTCCCTTTGATTATTATTTTTCTTCTATTTGGTTTGCAATGCTATGCTTTACTATGCTTTGATGTGGTGTACTGTGATGGGCTGCGTTCTGCTCTGCTGTGGTTTGTGGTAAGGTCTGATTTTGTAAAGGTGTAATTATGTTAAGCCATGCTAGGCTGAAAAGCAAAACTCACTCTGCCTCAGCCTCTAGAGTGTTGACGCTTTAGGCACAGTCACCATGCCAAGTCATATTTTCACATCTGGAACTGAGTTAGCCCTGGGGGCCTCTGCCTCTTTCACAGGGCATCTCTCACATTGACTCAGTTGAAAAACTTTCCTCCTAGCTTTGCCAGGATCACCATCAACTCACCAATTTCCCTCTGACCCATCTGCAGAAAGGAGTCCCTCACTGCCAGAGTACAATTTAATCTATTAAACTGTTGACGTGAAATCTCTCATGAGGCAAGGGATGTAACTAAGAGGAAGGGAACAATGACAGGAGTGTGACGCTGGGTTCCTGTCACCTCCATTCTGGGATGGACACAAATGGCTCCACTGTGAAAGACAAATGATAATTCTTCCAGAGGACCCAAGATCAGTTCCCAGCACCCATATCAAGCAGCTCAGACTGTAACTCCAATTCCAGCAGATCTAACATTTCTGGTCTACTTTTGCAGACATACACACAACTACACACAATTAAAAACAATAACAATAAAACTTTAAATAAAAAACAATCACCTCTGTTCAGCAAATGCATAGCTCTGTCATATTTATATTCAGCCTTGCTAACTCAAGCTCCGAAAGTGGAGCCGAGGACCTAATTAAAAGGTAGCCTTGAGCTGTCAATAAAATTACATACAAAGGAAATATTCATATAGTATAATTTTGTTGAGACAGTCTGTCATGTAAGATCTTTTTCTAATTCAAGTGTGAGAGAAATTAAAATAAAAAGTCTCCACATCTACACCACCCTTGTCTCCCTCCCTCCCTGAAGCAGTGACACAATCACCAACAATCAAGACACATTCAAAGTTGCTGGCTGGAGAAATGGTGAGGTTTGTCTTTCCTGTTCATTTCTGGAGAGTGGCAGCAATAGTCATTCATGTTTATTCAGGGAAGGCAATTCCTTTGCCTCATCCCCAAGCTCTCTTGTCAGTGTGAAGGATCATCTTTCATCCCCAGCCTCAGCCTGACAGTTCCTACAAGACTCTCGCCCAGGACCCTGCCTTTTCTACCATAACACATACACCTGTCTGTCTCCCCCATGAAACAGTGTATGTCTAGATGTATTATCTTTTATTTTCAGCACTAGGATTACTGAGGATGTCAACAAGCAAGAAAATGTTGAGGGTGTAAACAAACAAATGAATCAAGTATCTGGTTTCAGAAAAGCCAAGCCATTTACCAAGGTTCATCTTTCTCCCCTGTGTTTACACAGGGACCATGTGACCAAACAGGCTTTGGACATCTGTCTTCCCACTTCCTGCCACTACAAAAACTTATATTTTAGTTTTAGACTAGTTTTTTCCTTTAACTCCTTTCCTTACTGATTTGCTCCAACTACCCGTGGAGATGTGCCAGATGTCATTTCTCAAGACAGGCAATATTAACCCAATATTTTACCCAAGGAACACTAGGACTTCCAGGACCTTTCTAGGCCTCTAACAGATGGTCGCCCCCCTGCCCCACCTTCCCTTTCACTTGGCTTTTGTTCTTACCTTCAAAGCTCCCAGCAAATAAGTAAATCCAGGTGATGGCTGGGATACAGAGCAGAGTCAAAGAGGCAGCCAAAAATTTCCGTCTCCCTCTGCAAATTCCCAGCATCCTCTCAGAAGTGGCAATTTCTAATTTCAGCACCTTGTCTCTGTCCAAAGCATGAAGTCCTCAGTATCCCTCATAATACTTTCTGGAAGGAAAAATAGAAGAGGAAGAGCTGAATCCCATTATGATGAGCAGACGCAGGCAAAATGAAAGAAAAAATATCCCATAGATCCTAAAAATAGATTCCCAGGGCCATGGCTTCCTTCTCACCTTTCTATCTCAAGAGATGATAAATGATGCTATAGTCTTGTCTTTTAAAACAGAGACACCTAAATAAATAATGAGGTCTTCAAGAAATCTCTCTCTCCCTCCCTCCCCATTCTCTCTCTCACATGCATTTAGATAGCATATATTATAAAAAAAAATACTAAACAGATATGCTATCAAAACTAGGACCTAAGCTGATATCAAAGAATAAAGTGTCCTGAGTGACCAACTAAAGAACATGTTCCCCAAAAAATTTATATGGACCATTGATTAAGGCAAGAAAAAAGTGTTAGTTTAGCCATGTATGGTCAACATGGCAGACAGCTCTTGTGTTCCTAATAGAAAACACCCTGAGAGGCAGCTGAAGCAGAATGAAGAACACACCTAAAGAACAATGGCTTGGTTAGAACACAACATAGCCTGTTGAAACAGGACTGTGGTCAGAGCAGCTAAAAATATCTCAACTGTGAATCGTCTGCATAGCCCCCTACTCTGGTAGATTCATAAAAACATAGAAACAATGAGAATGAACAAGAGTTAACCAGCTTGAACCATTACAATAAATAATCTTTAAACCAAAACAAAATGGCAGTAATGGGTTAAAAGAAAAGAAAGAAGGTTACCGGGTGATGTTGGTGCAGGCCTTTAATCCCAGCCTTTAATCAGGAGGCAGAGACAGGTGGATCTCTGTGAGTTCGAGGCCAACCTGGTCTACAAGAGCTAGTTCCAGGACAGGCATCAAAGCTACAAAGAAACCCTGTCTTGAGAAAAAACAAAAAACAAAACAAAGATAGTGTAGAGAGCTCATGATAGTCATCTCAATATTTATACACACACACAGAGAGAGAGAGAGAGAGAGAGAGAGAGAGAGAGAGAGAGAGAGAGAGAGAGAGAGACACTCTCTTCCTGCTGACTGCTGATCCAGATGTAGAACTCTCAGCTACCACTCTGGCAACTTGACTGCCTGTGTACAGTCATGCTTCTCACAATGATGATGGTAGACAAAACCAGCTCCAATTAAATACTTTCCAAGAGTTGCTGTGCTCATGACATCCCTTCACAGCAATGGGACACTGACTAAGACAGAAGTTGGTACAGGGTTGGAAGTATTGTTTTGATAGGCCTGATCATGCTTATTTTAGAGGAATGTGGACTTTGGGACTGGTTTAGGAAAACTTTAAGCTGGCCTTAATGGGCCATGCTAATGGAAGCATGAAAGATAGTGCTGCTGAGGGTGATTTGAACTGTGGGAGCTCAGCTCAAGGGGTTTCTCAGAGGAGCATATTAGTATTAGTTTGTGGCCCAGAGACCCATTCTTGTAACATTCTAGCAAAGAATGTGACTGCTTTATGTTCTTGTCAAACAAAAGTGTGCCTGAGGCTAAATTGAAAGTTTGGGATTAATAGCTTTGGCAGAGAAGATTTCAAAACTGCCTGGTATTGACTGTTTTGTGGTTATTAGTGGCCAGTTTTATGCTAATCTATAATGAAAATAAGCAAGCAGAGAATAAAAAAATACATAATGTTTGAGAAAGAAACACCAGAAAAGAAGTTTTTAAGAAAGTCTGATGCTAAATGTAATAAAGGGAGTGGTGACCTCAGGGCAAGATCCTACCTAGCTAAACTTCCAATTTGTGAAAGGGAATTAAAATTTACAGCTGTGAGTGGTGGCCCAATGAAGGAAAAATTATCCATTATCATCAAGTAGGCTTCATCCCAGAGATGCAGGGCTGGTTCAACATACGCAAATCTATCAATGCAATCCATCATATAAATAAACTGAAAAAAAAAAGTATGATCATTTCATTAGATGCTGAAAAAGCATTTGACAAAATTCAACACCCATTTATGATAAAAGTCTTGGAGAGATTAGGGATACAAGGGTCATACCTAAATATAATAAAAGCTATATACAGCAAATTAAATGGAGAGAAACTCAAAGCCATTCCACTAAAATCAGGAACACGACAAGGCTGTCCACTCTCTCCATACCTCTTCAATATAGTGCTTGAAGTTCTTGCAATAGCAATAAGACAGCATAAGGAGATAAAGGGGAGTCAAATTGGAACGGAAGAAGTTAAACTTTCGTTATTTGCAGATGATATGATAGTGTACACAAGCGACCCCAAAACCTCTACCAAAGAACTCCTACAGCTGATAAACACCTTTAGTAATGTGGCAGGATAGAAGATCAACTCAAAAAAGTCAGTTGCCCTCCTATACACAAAGGAAAAAGGAAGCAGAGAGGGAAATCAGAGAAGCATCATCTTTCACAATAGCCACAAATAGCATAAAATATCTTGGGGTAACTCTGACCAAGGAAGTGAAAGATCTATTTGACAAGAACTTTAAGTCTTTGAAGAAAGAAATTGAAGAGGACACCAGAAAATGGAAGGATCTCCCATGCTCTTGGAGGATCAACATAGTAAAAATGGCAATTCTACCAAAAGCAATCTATAGATTCAATGCAATCCCCATCAAAATCCCATCAAAATTCTTCACAGACCTTGAGAGAACAATAATCAACTTTATATGGAAAAACAAAAAACCCAGGATAGCCAAAACAATCTTATACAATAATGGATTGTCTGGAGGCATTACCATCCCTGACTTCAAACTCTATTGCAGAGCTACAGTATTGTAAACAGCTTGGTATTGGCATAAAAACAGAGAAGTCGACCTATGGAATCGAATAGAAGACCCGGATAATTATGGTATTTTACATCACAAAACCTGATTCAAATTTCAAGGATAACACAATCATGAGTATACTTCCAAAGGAATAAACTTGATACAGTAAGGCAAATATCTATATAACCAGGCAGCCCTCTGAAGTACAACAATATATTCTATGAGTATAATAAATATATAATAAAAATATCCATAATAAATGATGAAACATGTATGTTTGATCACATAAAAAATAATTTTCATAGTAAAAGTAATTGCTGGGCAGAGGACATGATAATTTCACTATATATCACTATGTATTTTCCAAGTGTCATAAAAGTAGCACATATTGCTTTTATAATTTAAAAATATTTTTAAAATCTATTATAATGTTACATTATATTGTTTGTCATTCAAAATACCTCAGCACTGTTAGTATTTACAGGCTAGATACAGGAAGTTGATTTTTGTTGTACCCTAATTGTAAGCACCCCCTCCAAGCGACGATCCTGGACCATCACAAGGACTCATTCTCTACGACAGTCAGCTCTCATCACTACTAGAGGTCAGCTTTTCATAAGAAGCATGGAAGAAATGACATATCGTATGTTCAAGATATGTGGACTTTATAGAATTACTTAATAGGAAGACATGGTAACATCTCTGAAAGTAAAAAAAGAAAAATAAAAGAGTATCTAAGAAGAAAAAAATGGCCCCAAACCATAAGAATATGGACCTGTCATGATTAGAGAATCAGTACCAATGTTCACTGTCCTAATGACTGGCTAAGTCTTGCCTGTCTCTTATACCATGCTATCCCTGCATCAGATGCTGTCCTGGAGTGTTTTTCATCCTTTCTAGAATCTGATAATGACTTTTGAGTCCTTGGTGCCTCTGTGAAAAGGCTGATCTGGAGGCTTTTGCCTTCTACTTCTGAACACCAGTCTCTCTGGCCCTGGCCACTCTACTGAGCCTCAAATTCATAGATATAGTAATAGATACACCTGTGTCTAGGACCCAAACCTTCCTTTCCCATCACCTGCTGCTGCCTGGACCTTTCCCTCCTCACAAATGTCAGCACCATTTACTTAGGTACTTGATCACTCTTAATTCTATGTTCATCTTTCTCACCTTGTCCAATCCCTATAATCCTTAAGTCCTGTCATTTTCACTTTCAACACATGCTTCAAATACATCCCGATTTTACCACTTTCTCCTACCATCACATGAGGTATGGTCACTGCCATCTTATACTTAGTCCTATTGTATCAGTCACCTAATTCAAATTTCATCTAAAATTATTCAGTGTTTCTCAACAGCTCTTAAAATGAATCCCAAATGCTTGGCCATGTCCATGATCATCTAAAAACTTCTCTAACCTCCTCTGAAATCTCTGTTCTCTTCTGCTCAGCATGTCGCCCTTTTCACCTCTGGACCTCACCTCATCAACTCCGCCACTCTATTCTTGATGCCACAAATCTGAATCATCGTGACCTCTGCTCCACTGTCTTGCTCCCGTCCATGCAATCTAGAGCTTGGATGCTGAGATCAGAGAACTCTTTGCTAATAACTCTATACCTAGGGAGCCCTCCCCAATTTGTCTATCACCATGCCCTGGTCATTTCCTTCATAGTTCTCATCAAATTCCAAAGTGACAAAATTCTCTGAAAAATTGTTTTTCTATCAACCATCATACCCAGTAAATTTTAATTTCCACCTGAGCATAAATTCTAACAGCTTCATCATTGGTGTACTTGTCCTAGTTAGAGTTTCTCTTGCTGTGATGAAACACCACAAACAAAAGCAAGTTGAAGAAGAAAGGGTTTATTCTGTTTACGCTGTTCATCATTGAAGACAGTAAGGACAGGAACTCAAACGGGCTGGGAATCTGTAGGCAGGAGCAGATGCAGAAGCCATGAAAGACTGCTGCTTATAGAACTGTTATGGTTTGATCAGCCTACTTTCTTATAGAACCCAGCACCACCAGCCAAGATGTGGCCCAAGCCATTGTAGCCCTCCGGCTTCAAATACTAAGAAAATGCCATACAGGTTTACCTACAATCTATGAGTGCATTTTCTCAATTGTAGTTTCCTCCTGAGATGATTTTATCTTCTGTCAAACTGACATAAAAGTTATCATCAGTACAACACTCGTGGACTCAGGCAGCAATGTCTAATGCTTGCTGAACACATAACAAAATGTACATAT